CCGGTAGACATAGAAAAAGCGAATCGCTTTGTCCCTCAAACTCCATTCCATATCACCTGTATAATATACTTGAAACGGTCTAGGGTCTCAACTGTCAACAGTTGCAATAACTACGAAGACCTACTCCAAGGCAAAATTGAAGCCAAGCTGAAAGATGCCCGAAGGTTTGACAGAAGAGACGGGTATCAGCTCGTGCTACCCTATAATCCCATTCGGCACCCAGGATTCCACAGCTTTCACCAGTACGACAGAGATCGATCAATTTGCCCCGACCGGAGCCGAGCAATAGTGTTCTTCCTAAGATGAGGTCGAATCCTGACCACTGCCACGTTTAAAACTGAGATCCCTGCAAATTTTGTTGGGAAGTATACTTCCAATCCAGTCCCAGCGCCTGCAGAATCTATACAGATTCCTCAAGTCTCCAAGTCAGAACTACAGGATCCATCGGGGGTTTCATCCCATTCTGGGTTCTCCAAAGAGTCCATAAAACAGTATTACGCTAATGGCAAAATTTATCAGAGCTAGAAGAGGTAAGCCAAATCAAAATACAAAATGAAAGTTCTAAACAAAAAACAATGTCTCAATAAAGCCAAAAACATTGATGACTATTCAGCATAAAAATACATTCTTCTGCCTGTCCTACAGGAAATTGTAGACGCACTTCAGCCGCCAGTCGTAAACAACAATATTAGTCATACCAACTTAGTTACGGATCACAAAATCCAATATTTCGAGATAAGATCCTATATGAGCAACTCGATGACATGCCCGTCAATGACGAGTCACAATACAGTTCCCCTTCTCGTGGAACAACCCCGTTCCTGTGTTGATTACCGAAACATCAATTCCATAATACAGTCATCCACGCTGCAAAACATACGTAGAAGCCATTCAATTGCAAAGTTTCCTTGGAGTTTTAAATTGGATTCGCAAATATATAGCTATAGCATAAATTACTATGAACCTCCGCGTGTCACAAGGCGTTTGAGGCAGTAAAATATAGAGTTGCAAACAAGATCTTCCTTCAAGTGACGCGTTCACAATTAGGTTAGGAGTCGTCCAGTACCAGAAATACGACCTCGGTGCCAAATAACACAATTCCTACGCACCATGAGTACTTGCAAGATTCGTGCACAGAGCTAAAAATGAAGAGAATGAGAAATACAATATTCCCGCATTGGCGACGGAGGATACGAGATGACACAAGGGCGCTTCAGCGCGATTAGAGTTCATTAACTAGACTTTAACACGGAGACCTTCCCTAACAAGAACCAAATACCTGCTGCCACTTTCCAACCCCGCGCAGGGAACATAATTGTTCAGCTCCGTTTGCTCCACAATGAAGGATTCGTAGAATTCCCGGCGAATAAAGTTCCTACAAAATCCTCTACATTCTAAACTGCTCTGGACATTCCGAATCTTCACTAGAAAGATGCCAATCAATTTTGAGCCAACTCCGAAGTCCACTCGTCGAAAGGGGAAGGTGTCTCGTTCCAAGTTCCGAGCGGATTTCAAATTTTCACTCAATTTTCTAATCAGAACCATTACGCCATCGCGATCTCCAAGTTCCAGTTCCAGTTCCACCTTGTATACTCTCTACATAAAAAATGGTAAGTATGCACATATACCGCGTAGAATGTTCAGACCACCTTTGAGCAGATATATGTCATATGCTTGTATGATAAAATTGACGTTATAGATTTTAGCCAAACAAATTTATGTTTAATGAATGTGATGAGTGACCGCCTCATATTTACGCGGCTTAAAAGACAAAGTTGCATATAATACAATGTGAATGGCTTACAAAAAATATTTGATGCTAAGGATCATTTTAGGTAATCGTTGCACCACCTGAGGCTTTTCAAAAAAATGGTCAGGGAAAGACAAAGGGATGCATGGAGAGCCTACTGCGAGGAGATTGGAGACTACTCGCAGGCTGCTAGACTATGTAAGATCCTTGCAAAAGAGAAAGATCATGATATAGATCTATTAACCAGAGAGGATGGCGTGAGAACCGCCAATTGGGGCCAACAAAGGCACCAACTCTCCTAAACACTACGCTAAGCTTTGCATCTGATGTGAAATACCTAGGGGTTACACTCGATGCAAAGCTAACATGGAATCTTCACTTTGAGAGAAGATTAATAAAGGCGTACATATCCTATGAGCAGTGCCGCAGAACCGTTGGCAAAACCTGGGGCATGAAACCAAATGTGGTTATGTGGATATACACTGCCATAGTGAGACCAATGTTAGCCTATGGGGCTGTCGTCTGGTGGCCGAAATCCCAGCAGACGACAGCTAAACAAAAGCTCAGCCAAGTACAAAGGGTTGCCTGTCTGAGCTTAACTGGAGCTACGCGTACAACACCTACCATAGCAATGGAGGTAATGCTGTGTCTGCCACCTCTGGATATTTATCTAAGAGAAATGGCTTTGACAACCATGCTTCGCCTCGAGAACGTTGGCTTAAAACCGGTTGTAGGATGTGGAGAAGTCAGAAGTCGCCTGTGGAATGAGGTCGTCAGGAAGACGCCCCTCCTGCAGGCAGACACTGACAGTATTTCTCCCCGGTTTGCATTTGACAAACCCTACACCGTACTCATTAAGAGACAGGAGGAGACCGCCCGTGGAGATGTAATTAGCATCTTCACAGACAGATCAAAAAGGAAGAAGGGTGCAGGATGTGGAATATACTCTAGATCCCTGCACATCCGATATCAGTGGGCAATGGATAGGCATGCTACCGTTGTACAAACGGAGTTAGCAGGCATAACCATAGCCGCGAAGGAAATTGCCCGCTGGCATACGGGCACAACCATTAGAATCTACACGGATAGTAGACAAGCACTACTGACCTTGCGTAACCATAAGATAATGACTAGGACAGTATGGGAATGCTATGAAGCACTGGTTGTGGCCTCGGCCGCTAACAGCATATCTGTATACTGGGTAAAGGGACACGAGCAGTGCTATGGCAATAAAGAAGCTGACAAGCTAGACAAGCTATCCAGGAGCGCATCGGGCCTCAACATTTTTGGACGCGGCCCCTCCAGTGTGCTTCCGTTGTCGGCATTTGTTGGAATTATCAATGAAGATACCCACAAAGAATTTATGAAACGATGGGATGAAACAATCAGCTGTCACTTTGCTAAGGAGCTCTTAGTGTATCCTAGCAAAGACAGCCAAAAAATACCTGGCTATGTCTAGGTCAAATCTTCGCCTGGTGGCAGGTATTCAAACTGGACACTGTTGGCTAAGAAAACACCTTTACAATATGGGGAAGTGCGAAACACCTCTTTGTAGGGGCTGTGAACAGGAAGACGAGACGGTGTTGCATTTACTATGTGAATGCACTGCCGTCTCGTCAACAAGAGTCCATGTTGGGAGAATGCTGGCCTTCAGTGGCCTATATTAGAGAGACCCCCCTGAGCAACGTCAACACCTTTTTCACTGTAATAGGCTGGTTGGCGGCTCAGGTGGATTGATCTCTCTAATGGGAGGATGTACAAGGGACCCAATTGGGCCTAAGTGCTGTAGCTTTGCTACCCTCCCCACAATTCCAGACTCCAGGTAATCGTTGCGGATGAATCATTCAAAATAAATTTAACTTATATTTATTTTATATTTACACATTTTCATGTTAAAATAGCTTCAAGTCACTTATGGGATATTGTAGGTGAGTTAAATATTGAAGTTCATCCCGCACTTCAATTTTAGTTAACTCCAATTTAAAAGGAAATGAGTATTTCGCTTTCTATGTAGGTAACAAGTAAATATACTGTTATGATTTGTTCGCATGATAACTCAAGATGTACTAAAAAAGGGACCATCATACAAAATTTTTGAAATAAATAAAAATATTTAACTGTAGTATAGTAAAATCTGACACAAAAAGGGTGTGGAATACAGAATAAAGTAAAATGAAGGATATTTTTATATATAAAATAAGTTTGTAATAGTATAAGTCTTNCCGCACTTCAATTTTAGTTAACTCCAATTTAAAAGGAAATGAGTATTTCGCTTTCTATGTAGGTAACAAGTAAATATACTGTTATGATTTGTTCGCATGATAACTCAAGATGTACTAAAAAAGGGACCATCATACAAAATTTTTGAAATAAATAAAAATATTTAACTGTAGTATAGTAAAATCTGACACAAAAAGGGTGTGGAATACAGAATAAAGTAAAATGAAGGATATTTTTATATATAAAATAAGTTTGTAATAGTATAAGTTTTAAAATTGTTAAATAACTGTTAAAATTGTGACTAAAATTGAATGTACACATTCAATAATTATTAAAATGCACTCATGCATCACAAAAAGGTTAAATAGAATATTAAAGAACTATTTTGTAATGTCAGTTATCATATAAATGTTCAGGCACGAGCATATTTGGAAAAATATTAGAATTTTGACAAATTATCGACGGAAGGTAACGGAGTTTTACACATAAAGAAGTAACATACAATAAAACTGGTAAAATATTAAAATATAACAAACCTATGATCAGTATTTATTAGAATTAAAGAATTATACCTGAGCCACTGTAAAAAGTTTCATGTATTGTTTAAATGTTAACAGATTGTTGTACCGTCAGAATTTGTAAATTTCTTGTTTTAAAAGTGTTGTAGAACTGCAAAATAGTATGTGCAGAGTGTACAAGACCTTCATAACATCATAAACTGTATTTAGACTTCAACCGAAAGTCAAATTTCTGTGTAAACATTAAAAGTTCTCGGTGAATCGGTAAACCTAGAAATTTCCAGTAGTTTAGTTTCAAAAAAACAGGTAGAGACTGTTTGAAAAGTGAAAAAGGGGTAATAGTAAAGACAGTGAATGGACAGACAGCAGAAAATTAAGCTCTATAACGTAATTTAACTACAATTTTCAAAATTAAGTAAAATTTGGTTAGAGTTGGAAAGTTAACCTAGAAATAAGCTACTGATACCAAAAAACGCAGAAAAATGCAAGGAATCTGAATATGTAAATATCATGCAGTTTAAAACATGCTGAAAGTCAATATTTTGAAAATTAAAAGTTCATAACAGTTTGTTTGACATTTCCATTGTAACCTTTCAATTGTTTGTACTTCAATAAAATCAAAATCCGAGCTCATCGTAGCTAGTCTCTCATAAATTCCTGTAGCAGTAACATCGCCAGTTAGCTCCTAAAATAACAATTGAAAATCAATTAAAATCAATAAGTTGTGGAAATTTACCTATCCAGCCATCCGAGAAGAGAAACATCAGTGACGGGCAGTAATGTCAAAGTCCGAATCACACAGTGTCCATATAATGTTATAATCCCGAAAAGCCGATGATCACCACTATCATTAAATATAAAGCGCAACACAAAATCTGAACGGGTTATAAAGGTAGAAAATGAAATAAAATGAAAAGTAATAAAAAATGTAGTGCAGTTGCGGCTGAAAACATCACGACAGAGTACAATCACGACGAGTTTCCGAACATCAACTTGGGATTTTTACTGCCAATACCAACTAGGGAACCCATCGCAGTACCAAATTGAAGATAGAAAACCAGAAAACGACACAATGCACTGTAAGTTGTATACACATTGGCCAAATTAC